CCAAATGAGAGCACAGGAAGCACAGGAACAATCACATACAGTAACAAGAAGCCCAAAGAATAATGGCAGATAGAGGCAGTGGTGATACATCTGGGCAGTGTTGCCTGCAGGATATATCAGAATTTTCAAGATGCTGGATATGGTAGTGACCCAAACTCATCTCTGTTTCTACATGCATCAAGATTGCACCCCTGTGCAACAGGGTGGGGCATGTATTGTGACACTAGCTACCATCTTGCAGATTTTGACCCCTACTTGTAGATGCCCCTGCATCTGGGTAGGACCTGAGACCTGGTAGCCCTGCCAGGATACGATGTACAGTTTCTGGAAGATTCCCTAAGTCTACTTCCAGGCCTGCCTTTATTGTTTTCATTCATAATATTTAGGTCACATAGTGCAGGGGTCCCCAACCCCTGGTCTGTGGACTGGCACCAGACCAGAAACCAGGCTGTGCAAACAAGCGAAGCCCCATCCGCGGGATGCAGACAGCACATGAAACCACACCCCCTCCAATCGCGGAAAAACCTCTCTCCACGGAACCAATCCCTGGTGGGGGCCATTGATATAATGCAATGTACAGCAAGTATTCAGGATGCTCCAAACATCTTACAGTATTGCAGTAATTCTTACAATCGCCAGTAAAATAAATCCTCACATTATTAATAGGAAAATGGGTGAATTTGCACATCATGCTATAATACTTCAACTCAGATTTCTTGACTTAGCTAAACCATGTATAGCTGGGTTCACATATAATGCTTAGATTAATTTAGAAACCACAATGGCTGGCTTCCCCCAATATGGTAAACCACATTATGGGCCATTGCAATTTATAAACCCTATTGTTATTAGTCTGACTAAAAGAGATTATATATATATATACACAGGGGTGGGTTCTACTTTTCTTTACTACCGGTTTGCAATGGGATTGGCGTGCACTTCGCTTGCGTGCAGGCCTTGCTTCTGCGCATACACAGAAGCTTCTGCACATGCGCAGATCACCAATAATGACATCTGGGGCAGTGGGTGGAGTCTCCCGCCGGTTTTACTACCGGTTCTTGCGAACCGGTCCGAACCGGGGGCAACCCACCACTGTATATATATCTGAAAAAGTTTCCATGTTTTTATCAAAACTCGGTTTCACATAAGTCACTGTCATCTGAAAGAAATTCTAGTATTGAGAGATTTATTTTGTCCTGGATAATAAGGCTTTGCAAACTTGGAAAGTAATTTGAAAAAAAATACGCTTCTGGGTATGTCCACAAGGAAGTCATAAAAATCAAGATGAGATTTGTGACTTGTAATGGAAATGCCACCTTTTTTTTTACACAGTACACATATTAAAAAATGATGGGACTTTGAAAGCATGGTTTCAGCTGTTATCGCAATTTTTTTTAGAGTCAACAGATGCATTGAATAGTTGAGATCCTATGTGAGCACAGCACCTCCCTGCTGGTTGATGTAACAAGCTCAGTTTAAGAAGAAAAGATGCCTCTATTTTAAGAGTCCCATCGCAATAAAGGGGTTATCCCTGAGTGACTTTTTGTTTGTTTGTTTGTTTGTTTGTTTGTTTGTTTGTTTCACTGGATGTTTGATTTCAATTTTTGTGTTCTTCTGCTATATGTTGTTACGGGCACAGTTTTAAACTCTGTGTTAACTTTGTTCCTGCCTATCTAAGTGGCAGAACTTAGCTGATCCTGAAAAGCTAAGCAGATCTGACCTGCATGCATTTCTGGAAGGCAGTTCGCCAGGAAAATCCTGAGTTGTCATCTAAATGGGATGATGAAAAATAAAATTCCAGGAGAAGTCAGTCTCAAATCTCTTGTGTAATGAATCAAGGAAACAATGGCCATGGGCTATGGGCATAAAGTCTCTACAAACTAAGGTTGACCCTTAATGTTTACATTATTAAAATGAGAAAGTCTAACCAATACCAAGTTTCTATACATGAGGGTGAGAATAACCCCAGAATAGTCCTCTTGTACATCTTCTTCTCAATATAACAGAAATCCTTGCAAAAGAAGATAACCAAAATCATTTATCCTCCAGAGCAAGGGACTGGCAGATAAGCATTTCAATTTTTTTTAGAAATTACATTGTGGAGTCTGCATCAAGGAATCCACAATTCAACTCTGAACTATGTACAGTATATTTACTTCAGTTAGAGAAATTGTATCACTATGGTGAAGTTTAGTAGTTGGTTTAGTAGTTGAGAAGACTCTGCACAAAGGAATATGAATTCACTCACTATATTTCTCCTTTTTGATACTAGCCATTTAGAATATACATCTTCCACCGATTTAATTCAATAAAAGTGTATGTTGTGTAAAGGAAGCTCTCTAGTGTTGCTTCTATGGCTAAAGAGACACGCAAGCTGATAAAACTGGGTACAGAAAGAAGAAATCTGCTTGCTCATTATCATGCTTTCTTTGAAAATAAAAATAATTAAATTCACAATTTATAGGTATATTTCCATTAGTGGTCAATGATTCAATAAGATGGAAAATGATATATTTTTGGCAATATGTGTCTGGACAGGCCTGTGAGTGCAGTGTAAATGAATTAATTTCTGGCCCTATTTGTCCAGGGGAATTTGATTGGGACATGGTGTTTTGTGTACGTTTGAGTGTTTTCATTGCATATTTGCTCTTGATTAGTGACTTGATAATCTTAACACGTAAAATTAGTCTTGATTCTGCTTGGAAACAAGCAACATGTACATTAATGGGCATGTTGATCAGCAGACATACGTTGATATATTTGAAGTATTATAAAAGTAATCTACTTTTTAAAATAAATCCTCACAAACCTGTGGAGCAAGGACATCCACAGGGAAGTCAAAAAGTTAAGATGATGGTAATGATTGTGCAATAGAAGTCTGGTCCTTTTTACGTATGCTGTACATTTACAAAGGGTGGTGGGGTTTGATTGCATTATTGCAGCTGCCATTTTAACTTTTCTGACCTTTTCAGCCTTTCTGGTTACCTCTGCTCAAAATAACTATCATGTCTGCCAAGCTCTGACTTCAGAGTACCTTAGGATCTCAGCACGTGCAAAGTAGATTTGTTCACACAACCTGCTTACCAGATCAAATAAAGATTTAATGGCTGCATTTCCAAAGCATATCAAGCTTGGATTGATTTTAACCTTAGTTAGCTTTTGTTTTTGTTTTTTATTTTATTTTTCCCTGTGTGTAGTTTACATGCTGTGAAAACCCAGCTTATTTGGTTAATTCATAATGCAGATACTTTGTACAGATCCAGAAAATGAGTTGATTCATTAGCTAGGCTAAATATATTGTATGGAACCTACCGAAATATCTGTGTGACAAAAGTATCATGAATAGATAGGATGTATTTCAGTTTAGTAACCAAACTTTTTCCATACCTGTGATTTTCCATTATGCATTCCTCTTCTATGAGTGCCTGCTTCTCAATCAAGCTTTGATAACACAAATTTAAGAAAGGCATTCTCAGAAAGCTGTGGCCACGTTAAGTGGCAGGTACAGGCAGAATTCAGCTATGAAGCTTTGGTTATAAAACCTGGACATCCATCTTGCTTTTATGCATTAATAGGACAGAATCAGGTTTAAAGCTTAAGGACACAGAGGACATTTTGGTGAGAAGTTTATTCCAGCTGCTATTCCTGCAGCTTCTCCTACTATTGTCAATATCCCACTTTCTGACTTCTAAAATATGCCATGAGACCTAACACAATCCAGAAAACATCACAACAAAATAAGATATCTGGTGCAAAAAGTATCAGTAATAAAATCAATTCAGTGAAACAATTCATCATCCTATCAAGCTCCTGTCAAATTGCTTTATGAAAACTATATCTTAACCACATAGCAGGAGGTCATCCAGAAGGAGGCCAGATACACATTTCTCAAAACAGCAGTTTCATAGCTTTGGTGAGGTGACTGAAATGCCACTTAACTCCTTGATCTATCTCAGGTGGTGGAGAATATAGAGAAAGATCTGTGTTGTTGATGTAAGTTCTCTGTTAGGAGGACAATGCAGGTGATGAGTAGAAGGTTGCCCTTAACACGCTAAATAATCACTATTTTGTCAACCCCTGCTACCAGGTCAGGAATATATTGAAGTGTGTGTGTGTGTGTGGTGATAATACAAAAATGTAGAAAATAATGTCCTCACCTAGTCACAAAAAGTCTGTTTATGATTTCTTCACACTGGAAACAGGTTCTGGGATTGAATGTGAAGGATGAGATATGTGGTATTATGCTAAAACTTTATGGAAGCAAGGAGCAACCAAAATTTAGCCTTGTATTATGACTTTTGTGGGCAAAGGACATCTCTGCTTTGATTGCACGTGTCACGATCATTTTACTTGCAAAAAAGGAAGCTGCATACAAGCTACGATTGGAAGAAGCAGATCAAAGATTTGAAAGGCAAACCTTTACGATGGTATAGGGTCTCCTGCTTGAGCAGGAAGTTGGATTAGAAGACCTCTGAGATCCCTTCCAATCCTTGGATTCTACATTACTGTTACTGTCCTGTCAGGATTCAGAAGCGCTTTAGAAAACGTGCACAATGTCTTTCCTTCCATCCTTGCAGGTCATCTAGGCAAGCGAGATAGTGATGAAAAGCAGCTGAATGTGTGAACCGGCTCTATTGAGAAATGTTAGCCTTCAGTGGGAGGTGAGGGAATAGCAAATCAGCTGTTGCATGGTGACACAGGGAAATCCGTACGGTGGTGTAATCATCAAGTGAGCAACATAAATGTGAGAATCATCTCAATAGGGGCAGGGTTTCTAGTAAGCTTTCCCTGCCAAGAAACTGAGACCTGATTTACCTTCAGAATGGATCTCAAGAAGAGGGACCCCAGAATATCCCTTTCAAAAGCCAACGTGCTTTCTTCAGCCCAGCCACACTGGGGGTGGTGTGTGTGGGGGTGTGTGTGGGGGGGTGTCAGTGGCTTCAAAGCCAGTTGTAATATTTATAGCTTAGTCAAAGCCTGGCTGAGTGTTGGGGTGCGGGTGGGGGGACAGTAAAAGAGGCAAAGTGAGTGGCAGGCATTTCCTAATACCTCAGGGGGAAAACAGATGGGTTCATTCCACAACTCTCAACTCCCTTGCCCAGCCATTCAGAGCAGCTGGCTAAGTCTCTGTGGCTGGCAGCTTAACTCCTCTTCTGGCTCCTGTGGGGTAGGAGAATTAAATAGGACACAGATTCAGAGACTTAAGAGTCTGTTTGCCGGGGGAAAGAACGAGGCAGAGGAGGAGAGGAAATAAGGTGGAAATTGGCCAGAGCCCAGGTAAGCGCTCCTGTTTGGGCTTGACAAAAATAGAAAGTCCGAAGGGGGTTTTGGAGGGGCGTTTCGGAGCTTTGGACTCAGGTGCCTGAGCCACGGCAGAAGTTCAGGCGTTGCCTTTTGGAAAGAAGTCCAAGGACAGATGCCAAGTCAATTTTATTCCATTTTTTTTTCAGAAGGTGGCGTAGATGTGTGTCTCTGTGCGTGCACCTGCATGTGCTGTGTTAAAGGGGGGGGAGAACACGGTGTGTGTGTGTGTATGTGTGTGAAAACAACCTTCCCTCTTGGTAAATGTTCTTAAAACGCTTTCCCCTCAGTGTTCTTGAGTCGGATCATCTTTTTTCCAACAGTTTCCAGAGATCGCACCAAACCCTCTTGCTTCTCCCTGCCGTGAGGATTTGAGAGTATTTGATTGCCCATCAAAATAAACAAATGAGAGGAAGGAGCGAGGGGAAGTGAGAGATGTGGAACCAGCTGTAGGTATTTTCCACAAATTGAAAAAATGAAAGCCCCACAGGAGAATTTCCCCTCCCCCCCACCTCCCGGGGGATTCGTTAGAGGAAGAAAGGAGAAAGGGTGATGGTGGGGGGAGGGGTAGTCCTTTTTGATTGAGAATTATTGCCCATTAAGAGCCAACAGAACTGCCCCCTGGGTGAACCTGGAAGAGCAGCAGAGGCTGTTAAATAGAAGGTGCTTTCCTTCCCTCGCTTTTGGTACCTGAAGGGCAGGGAAGGACCTGTTGTCAAAAAAGGACAAAAAAATCCAATGACCATCAGGGGGCTTCTCATTAGGGCACAGGGAGACTTTGTTCTCCCCACACATCTCCTTTGGATCAAAATGTAATTAAATCCTACCACCCCCTCAACCTTCTTTCATTATTCTGCTCTTCAGCTGCTGCATTATTAGGATTTCTACACAAATTCCTTCCCTCTCTCTTCCCCCTCCATCCGCCTCTCCTCCCTCTCCCCCGCCCTGCATCTCCGATGCAGGGATTACATCTCCTTGTCATGGAGGGAGAGGGGGGGGAGGGAAATTTGTCAGTGCAAAGGCACCCATAGCCACACTAATTTTATTTATTTGCTTCCCTTCCCCCCCCCACCGACTGCAGAGCACTGTTTTCAGCAAGTCAAACAGTGTATATACAGCAACCCCACAAGCTGAGCCTAGAGGAGTTCCTATGTTAGATGACAGATTGGGAGCTCATTAGGGCTTTAGTCTTTGAACTTTTTATGAACACCGGGAATTTATGAAGCGTTATCTCCATAAACCTTGTACCGGTTTGCACATCAGATACATCCTTGGCTTCCCCCTCTTTTCTACTTTGTTCACTGTATGCTGATGGCAACTAAATATTTTGAAGAGCATTTGGTGTGACGTGAACATTCTGCAATAATCCAGCAAGTCATCACTCAATATTTTTGGCTATGAAATACTGAAAGAGCTGATCATGGGTCTATCAAACTCAATGTGGTCTATGCATGTAAGATAAGCCTTTCTCAACTCCACCAAGAAATCGGGTTGAATGTGAGTCCTCCTGTACACACAGCACGTGTTGGCATAGTCAGTGTGAACTAACCCTGGAGAGACATCTAAGATGTCTCTCCATCTTAAACAACAGAATGGTTTCCTCTCATCCAATCAGTAGTTGCACATTTAGGAAGCCAAGAAGGTCACGGTTGAAGGTTTTGCTTTCAGGCTGGTTAAAAGGTTCATTGGAATACAGTAACATAACCATGGAAAGGATCAACCTTAGTCTGAACATGCAGTAAGGCATAGGAGACAGATTCCCATGTTTCCTAAACTATTATTTATTTATTTATTTATTTATTTATTATTTATTTATTTATTTATTTATTTATTTATTATTATTATTATTATTTATTAATTCAATTTGTATGCCACCCCTCTCCAAAGACTCAGGGTGGCTCACAATGCATTTAAAATCATTATAAAAAACATTTAAGAATTAAAAACATTAAAAACATTAAAACTCATTCACACCATTCATGACCGGATCTCGCCGGATCGCAAGAGCGAGATCAACGGCCCCAGGCCTGCCGGAAAAGCCAGGTCTTCACCGCTTTTCAGAAGGCCAATAGGGTGGGGATGGTCCGGACTTCAGGAGGTAACTGGTTCCAGAAAGCTGGGGCAGTCACAGAGAAGGCCCTCCCCTGCGGGCCTGCCAGCCAGCATTGTTTAGCTGACGGGACCCGGAGGAGACCAACTCTGTGGGATTTTACCGGTCATTGGGAGTTATGCGGTAGAATAATTTACTGCTTCCCACTGTGCAAACAGATAACTGTCAAAAGTTCTTCAGTTAATACCAGAAGAGTAGACAAAAGCTACTTCAGATCTTTCTGTATCATCAATTTCTTCCTCCCAATAAAGCCATTTTGGTTCCATTTTGGTGCCTGTAACTTACGTATCTTCCCTCAGGATTGCATGTTTGTCACAAGGACAGTGTTACTCCACTTATAGAATGGTGATTTGATAAATGAAAGAGCACTTTCTTCAAATTTATTGAAGTTGCAATTTTGGTATAAAATATGGCGGTGGTTTAATAAATGTTTACTAGTTACCTGATAACCAAAATGGAGGTCTAAACTTTTCCAACCATTTTCATTCACAAATCTTACGTTATATTATTTTAAAAACATTTGGTGTGGAGGTCATGCACTTGACCACTCTTAGAAAATTTCCATAATACCTCACTGTAGTAGTCATTTTTAAAGCAAAAAATACTTTGGGCAGTAAAATTCACTAATCCTGTTATTTAAATATATCCTCCTGTACTTAATGTGATTGTGCGACAAAAGCTAAAATTTTGAGAGGATAATATTCTCTTGAACTGAATACCTAATACATGGAATTTGACAACTGGACAATGTAAAAGGATTCTCTGTGCCTTTACTATGGCTAAAAGATTGATACTGCAACATTGGGAAGATAAATGTATGGCCCCATTCACTCAGTGGACTGAAGAATTACACTTGCTACCTATGATTAGATTGTCTATTATATGGACAATATAATGAAATAGGGAACTCATTTTTACAAATTATAGTAGGTTAAAAAAGACTGATAGTTATATAAATGTTTTAAAAGTGAATATAGATTACTCAAATAATATTTACATTAGATAACCGTATATAGAATTATAACTCTATAATATTTATTCTACTTTGTTTCTTTCCCTTTTTCTTCTGTTGTATTTTTTCATGTTTTTAACCACTTTGTATGCATAGTTTTGTATGTATTATAATTGTCTTTGTGCTTTTCTTCTTTTCTTCTTTTTCTGTTATTTTTTTAAAAAGCACTAAAATAAATAAACAAATAAGCATATTCTCCATTTCGTACTTCACCCTAGCTTGCTTTCCTTCTTCAGCAGCAATGGGGGAGTACCTTCAAAACGGTGCTTTGTCTTTTGGCTGGGTACCGATTTCCCAGAACGATCGCTTATAATTGTTGTCCAAAGCCAGCATTCAATAAAGACTCCAGCATCATTTAGAAGGCACTTTCTACCATCTGCCCAAGGGCTTAAACTTAATGAGATAGAGCACATGGCTGCCTTGCAGTCCATAGTCTCCCTTGCTTCATTCCTTGGGTTCCCCACTTGTTTCATTCCTTGGTCCATATCTTCAACCCATTTAGTCACTAGGAAACATAGTGGAGGAATGGTGCAGAAAGAAGGAGGGAGCAAGTAAAAGATGAACTGCTTCTCCCACCCCTGAGTTATTCATTGTCTTAGGTTGTAGGGATAGCAATATCACTTCCTCCAGCCTCCTCTTGGATACAGGCATCACATCACCTGTAAGGAGGCTGGGCCTTGAAATGGATGTGGTGCTCTTTGCAGTCCTAGTGGCTTCTACAGGGTTTTCTGTGGTTCACTCTCTTTGTCTTCTCTTAAGCTGTGTCTATGGCTGTGATGCCAGTAGGGAAGAAACACATGGACAAACTTTCTTCTTCTTTTCCTTCTAGTGCTCTCCGTTATCATAGCCTGGGGAGGTATTAATGCCTGAGTATTCTCATCACTGGGGACCCATCTGAGCACTTTGGCTTGGAGTCCAGAGATCTCTACTGATGTCTCCCTATCTGCTAATGTTCTGTGGGTACCTCTAAAAAAAGCCTCATTTTGAATGTCAGATTCCATCAATAGGTTCTCTTCCAAGATACCTGATAATCATATGATTTTTTCCCGCTCTGCTTTTATCTTTCAGATTAGCCAAATTTCTGTTCAGACCTCCAGGTATATGTGCCAGTTTCTCTGGCAAGCACAAACACCATGGGGAAAACAGCAGACATAGTGTTGTCTCTGAGTGGTGGCTACTGGTGGAGCAACAGACTTTCTTTGAGATGGAGAAAAACTAGCTGTAAGTATTATCGGAAATGTTTGCAAAGAGACCAGTTGCTACTTTTTAGATGATGGTAAAGGAAAAAATAGCCTAATTTTACAGTAATAGAAAACAGTATATTATATTCTTTGGGTCTTTGCACAGATGCTGTAAAATGTGACATTAGAGAAAGAAGCTGCAGAATTCTTGCCTGAATGAATTAGAGGGAGAGAAAATGTTCCCATCTTGTTCCTAATACTCAAAATATGTGCAACAGGCATGTTCTTTCACCTTTCATAATGTTATTTTTAAAACATTTACTGGGCCATTTCACCAGTACTCGATATTTTGCTCCATTAATAATAAAAAACATTAGCCCTTATACATTTTCACTATAGAAGAGAATGCCTAGTTTCAGGCAAAGGTTAAATGCATCATTTTTATGATAATGATGAATATCCAGTCATTCAGATCTCATAAATTCTATGTGGTACCTACTCTCTATGTTCACAAGCCATTCAAATCAAATAGCTACAGTTCTAAGGACTGTGAGCATTTTTTTAATATAAAAAAAGCTTTTTTTGTTTGCATTTTTTAAAAATGTGAAAGACCAAAAAGGCAGTTGGTATCACTTTATAATTTGTGAGGTCAAAGAAATGATTTACAAGCTATAGAAAAGTAAGTCAAAAGTAATAGCACTGGTGAGTCCCATCAAATATTTTCAAGCATTCTACATTTCCTTTTGCAACACAATCACCTCCAAATTGATTTATGTTATTCACCGACTTCTGATGACTTCCAGCTAGAACATCAAATCTAAGCGCTCTTCCTCAAGTGATGTTAACATGCATTCTTCCACTTCTTCTGTCAGCAGAAAAGTATAGCAATAACACTTAGACTTATATACTGCTTCATAGTGCTTTACAGCACTCTCTAAGCTGTTTATAGAGTCACCATATTTTCCCCAACAAAGTAAGTTGAGATAAACTGCCCCTGTGTAAGTTGAAATAAACAACCCCTGTGTAAGTTGAGATAAACTCCATTGCCCCTGTGGCCAAACTTAATGTACCTTAGGAAGGAAGCTGATATATGGTGATGGTCTGACAAATTTAATGGGCAGTTTTAGGACAGCAGTTGGCGGATTCCCTCATGTTTTATTCATTTATTTTATTAAACTTGTTTGCCACCCATCTCACTGCAAGGAGACTCTGTCATTACCTGTCAGTGGCAAATACAACCACTAGTTGTGTGTGCTTAAGGGTTAACAGTTAGATGATGTCTAGGATAGAGTGTTTGACTTGAGTAATAGATGACTGACAAGAAGGCATTTTACTCAGCCTGTCAGTTGGGTTATATATGAATATGGTTCTTGAACTCTTCTGAAAGAGATCAAGACTGTTAATTTAAGCAACAGTTTGGTAATCTTCTGGAAGAACGCCAAACCCATATCTAAAAACCAAGTAGCTGATAGGCCAGTTGCTTGCTGAGGGGCATAAGCTGAAGTGGGTGGGAATGCATTGACTGAGCATTATGCCAGACCTAGTGCTCTAAATTTGAAAGCCATGTTTAAGAAAACTTACTCAGCACTCTTTCAAAGCAGTGCTTGTCCATGAAAAAGTTCGTTTAAAAGGGTTTATGAAAACTGATTGTTCAAGATCCTATACTCTAAACCAGAGGTGTCAAACTTGATTTCATTGAGGGCCGCATCAGTGTTGTGTTTGACTTTGGGGGGCCAGGATGGGCGTGGCCAGCTTGACATCACTCGTGTCGAGGGTGCCTGTGGTGGTCTGAGCACTCTGCCAGTGAAAATGGGCTCCCGAGCTCCATTTTCACTGGCAGAGGCACAATGGGCCGGTCCTATGCTGTTTCCAGGGCAGCCCCGCGGGCCAGATCTAAGCACCCCGTGGCCCACGGGCCTTGAGTTTGACACTTCTGCTCTAAACTAAAATATGGAGGATAGTATGGAGGATCTACAGAGGCGTCAGGAAGGCATTGGAAGCTGGGTAGATCCCAGTTCCTGACCATATCATCAACTACATTGTCGGTGAAGAATTGAAGATGGTGTCCTTACTCAAAATAGTGTTGGGAGAACAAGGAAAACAGCACTTTAAAACTGGAATAGCTAAACATAAATTTAATCTGTCTCTCTGACAGGTTGGGGATGAGGCCAAAGTGTCCTTTAAAAATGACCATCTCTATGCTGCAGTTAAAAGGATGGGAAGAGGAATCCAAATCTGAAAATACTTTGTGCCCAATACAGAAAAAGAAGCTTAATAAACTTCAGTGAGCTATCAATCTCTGTAGCATATTATGAGACAGGTTCATTAATGAGGATGCATGCAGTTAAGCTAAGCAGGGGGTAGTGACACTCACCCAAATCTACAACTGGGGGGTCAAGTACAATATGTCAATAAAAGTTGCTGAGAAAATTGTTTCTTTTCACCTAAGAGCCTTACCTTTGTTAAACACCATTGCTTCCTAGATTGCTGTTATCAATTATTTACCCTAAATGCTACTGAGCCCTAGCCTAATCTTATATTTCTGGATCATCTTACCAGAGTCCTGAACATCCTACAAAGTAACACGATCTTTTCTTGACATAAGAGCATACACTATGCATGTCTGTTTCTCTTAAACTATTGTTCCGTAACTATTTCTGGTTTTCATGGGATGAAAAACTATCTTAGCTGCTCTGCTGAACATCCATAAAAAATGTCTTTGGAGATCTTGATACATGTACCTTCTGTCCTTTGCAAACAACCACATGCCTTACTCATGTTTTTCTTGGCACTTCTGTTTCCTCAGCAACAAAAGTAATTGAGGTCTTTTCTTTCTCTCTTGGCTATCTCTTTCACCAGGACAGTTTTGATGTATATCTCATTCTTAAACTGAAATTTTCAGTTGTTTAGAAGTAGCACCATTGTGCATCATTTTGAATAATGGTATTTCAAAAGTGTTCTGTCACAAAATAACAAAAAGAAAGGCATTTGGTTAAATGTGCATAGAAGAGTAATGCATTTTTGGGATATATTCTCACCTTTCTCTGTACACAAAAGCATTAAATGTTCTCCCATCATCAGAAATATCACTGTATTATTAATATGGTACTTCTGTCAGGCATCCAAAGGCAAGATGATTTTAATAACACATGTCACTTTCCCTTCCTTCTTGGTCTGACAGGCATAATCCTACATTAGAATGAGATGTTCTAAGAGGAATTAAATTCTCTAATCAAATAATATCAACTATGGTGCCAACAAGATATACAAAATGCATCAAAATATCTCTACTGCTGCTTGTGACTTCTATAATAAGCAGGAAGATAGTTATGAAGACTGCTCTATAGCCTTTTCTAATTTTGATGTGACAGATTAAATCCTATTTTTCTTAGGATACTGGTGTAGGAGCATTAAGTAGTTTTAGATTGAACTCATTATAGAATCATAGCAATGAATTATGTATCAATATTCAGTCCCATATTAATTGATTCTAGATTTAATCTAAATCAAAATTGATATCTTTAAGAAAAAGTACTAGTTTCAGATGCATTTGTTCACTTTTCTTGCAAATAGAATGTTTTTTTCCCCTTGAGATTTGCCATTCAGTTATGGGAAACTGATGTGGGACCTTTATTTGTTGGTTGGCTACACTTTTAGAATACAGGTATGCTGTATCTCACCTGCAGCAAATGATGCCATGCTTAATGTCTTGGGTGCTTGTGTAATGTTTTAACCTTTGCTTATGCTAGTTATTCATGATATACTTTTGTAATTTATAAGTACTGAGGACTGTTTGGGCTCTGATTGAATTTAGAAGACTTAAGCAAAAGATAGTAAATAAAACAACTCTTGTAATCAATCAAACGTATAATAAATCTCATTGGAAAAAATAGCAACACATTGAATAGATAATTTATGTTCTAAAGTGTATCTTAAGAATATCTAATTAAATACAACCAAATATATTCTTTATAAACTCTGTCTTGCAAGTTCTCTTTGCTAATTCTAGATTATCTTCCACTCATGCTTAATTCCATTGCATCTAAGATGCTGAATACTGTAGTATCAGGCAGAAAAATCTCTGGGGCACTATGACCTTTCTTTTTCACAGTGTGAGGATGTTTATTCTTTAGCCCCAGTAGCTCATCAAAAGCTAAAAGGAAGCTCACACGGTGGGAATCCATCTGGCTGCACAAGGATTAATCTGTGAAAAAGCTCATTTGGCTACCATTCAGCTCATAATGCTCCTTTTAAAGGGAAAGAGGGAAGGGAAGAGGCATTAAGCCCCACAAGAAATATCCCAGAACACAAATGCAACTGATTCTAGAACTCGTAGAACCAAAAGTATTAAAAACCATCCTCTAAGTTACTAGATGGAATTCTACTGCGATGGAGACATTTGTGCATCTGGTTGCAAAAATAAGGTAGCATTAATAGGTGAAACTGTGGTTACGTGCAGTCATGGAAGATACTTCAATATATTGTGCTTGATTTTCCTCTTCTCTTGTGCAGTGTTTGCCTGTTGGCTTTCGTTTTGCGCAGCAGAGACGTTCATAACATGTCCTTCCTCTTGCAAGTGCAACAGTGGTACCCTGGAAGTGGACTGTAGTGGTTTAGGCCTTTCATCCATTCCCTTGGACATTCCTACTAGTACCAGGACCTTCCTTTTCCTTAACAATCAACTCAGCACCTTGTCAGAACAAGCTTTTTCCAATCTTTCTGCTCTCCAAAGACTGGATCTTTCCAACAATTTCTTAGATCAACTTCCTGAGAATGTTTTCAGAGACCTGGTTAATCTTACTGAACTACAGCTGAGGAATAACAGCATCAGAAGTTTGGACAAAGATCTTCTGCAGAACACTGTTCTTTTACATCAGTTGGACCTCTCCATTAATGGACTTGCTCAAATCCCCTCAGGCATTTTTGATGATTTGCCTTCTCTTCGCTGGCTTTCTCTCCGATCAAACCGTCTGCAGAATTTGGACAGGGTAACTTTTGAGCCATTAATCAGCCTGCAACAATTACATGTGGGAGATAATCCCTGGGAATGTGACTGTAATCTGAGAGATTTTAAATATTGGATGGAATGGTTCTCTTATCGAGGTAGGTACCATTAAAGATTGGTCTAAACTAAGGATTATTCTTTGCTAGTTTACTATGGATTGCCAGAAAGAAAAATTAGTCAGATATGGTTGATTCAAATTTCAGATCTTGGATTAGGAGGATAGTCACAGTGCATAATTTGACTTCGTTAATGACACTGTAGTTTTGTAATTGGATTAGGCAGAGATATTTTTTTAGCCAAAGCCATTCAGCTTCCTGAGAGTGAGTTTATTTTCAATGGATCATGATGGGGAGAGTATCCATTTCAATCATTCTGGAGTTCCTAAACATACTGTTGCAAATGCAGAAGAACTGAACACAAATCAAAGCTGGGATAAAGCTCAACATTTGAGCTTCTAAGACAACAATCTAGTTTTACCACTTGTATGCAAGAGGCTTGAAAAAAAACTTAATCTCGGATTGTTTAATAATCACTGCTTCAATAGGACCGGTCACCCGTAAGCATTTAGATTCTTCCATCTTTAAAATGGATCAACAGTGTATAACTGGGTAGTCACTAATGTTTTAATGGATGATTTGACCAGATTAGTTGGAAATGTTAATATTTTTTGGCAGGAAATATTAAGTGTTTGCTAATGGTACTGCCAAGTATTCTTTTTGACACATGCTGTTTAGTGGCTTCCCTTTTAAAAACTGATATTAATAATTAGTATTTAAATCTTCTGAGTCACCTTGGAACTCTGTTTTACCAGAATCAATCATGATACAAATTTATGTAGCAAATTTCTCACATTGTACTGTAGAAAGTTAGATGTTTCTACTGATTATTGTACATTGGTTGCCGATTTATATATAGACTGGCCGTAATTTTCATAGGTGCTCAAAATCCATTTCTAACTATACATACATTTCACTTTAGTTCTGGAATTCTTGAGCGGACAGAGACCTTGTCATTTTAATTGTGATAATGTTGTCATTGATAGTCCTCCTAATAAAGCCCCATTAGCATAGTGACAGCTCACATCTTGATTTTTCGAATCAAAAGTTGGAGAGAGCCACTTCACCCATCTAGTTGATCTGCCTGGTCATATAGTACAATCAGAATTTAACATTCTTAATCAATGTTTACCTAGCACTGCTTGACCTTAACCAGTGAAGCTCATAATGCATCTTAAGTAATTAGCCACTCTTTTAAAGCTTTTTTTTTTGGTGTGTTGTTCTAGAACAGAGGTCTTCAAACTTGGCAGCTTTAAGACTTGTGGACTTCAACTCCCAGAATTCTCCAGCCAGCATACCATAGATGGGTGGAGAATTCTGCGAGTTGAAGTCCACAAGTCTTAAAGCTGCCAAGTTTGAAGACCTCTGTTCTAGAATGTTTGAGGCTGCTGCTGCTGAAGCATTATGCTTATTGCTTTTTATTTACCTTTTAATCGCTTTTAGAAGTTTTGGATATTTAAGTTTATTGTTACATACTTAAACATGAGGGAAAACCCATCTTAAAATGAGAGGTTTTCAAAAAGCTTTTTTGCTTTAATAATTGTTTCACAATCCCGACTTTCTTGATATGCTAATGCAGTTACTATTTAGGTAAGCAACTGTAGGCCACTCCAATATTGACGTTTCAACCACAACAGCTCCACTGAATTATTACACTGAACCCAGTATGTGCTCACATGACGGTAGGGAACTAAGCTTTTTTCTTTCTCTCTTATGGGATAGGAGGAAAGATAGACCAGCTGGCATGTACTTTGCCTAAGGAGCTGCGGGGGAAGGATATGCGCTTGGTACCCATGGAGATGTTTAACTACTGTTCCCAGCTGGAGGATGAGAACAGCTCTACTGTACTGGACAATATTGGTCCTCCTTGCACTAAGGGAAGTCAAAGTGTTCCCAAACCCAAAACAAGTCCTGAAACAGAAGAGGAGCCCAGTGTGGGTTGTCCCCAGAAGCAAAAGCCACGACCCATCAGTGTGCGTCGAGCCATTGGCACAGTCATCATTGCTGGGGTAGTTTGTGGCATTGTGTGTATCATGATGGTGGTGGCGGCAGCCTATGGATGTATCTATGCATCTCTCATGGCTAAGTACCATCGAGAGCTGAAGAAGAGGCAGCCGTTAATGGGTGATACGGAGGGAGAACACGAGGAACAAAAACAGATCTCCTCCGTGGCCTGAATCTTCTCGGAAATTTGAAGCAGAATAGGATACAGCCAAGACTTAAGAATACTTCCTCCCAGGTGAGCAGATGGACTGTGCAATTATCCCATTGGTCCAATTAGTAAAATGTGTTTATGAGTTCAGGACACCAGGCCTGGGTTCATGCTCACTTTCCTTTGTTCTCATGGAACTCCAGGTGAATAAAAGATGTCTTCTCTTTGCACCAGACTTCCCATTAATGGTCACATCTTGGGAAGGTCAGCCAAACAAACATCTTTGTTTGATTTCCTGTTTTTTTTTTTTAAAAAAAATTGCAAATATCCATTGCCTCACAGAGTCTTTGGCACTCCAAAAATTTGTTAATGTGTCTAAACTCCACCCTGTGGCATCACTCATATTATTGTACAACTATTTATTCGTTTTAGCTATGCTAAAGAAATCTAGTTCACAAACACTCCAGGCTCCTAGGCCTGTACAGTAATTGAATCCACCACAGTCAATGGAAATCTAATCTTCCTCTTTTAACACTAGAAATAAAGAATATTTAGATGTACCATCATCAACGTAACAAAGAAGCAAATGTGTATATTAACATATGCTTATTACCTATATACTTATCCACAGTTCTGTACACATCTTTCTTTGCATATCATCAGTACGTAATTGTGGAGAGTTTAAAAAAAAAGCCTCCTAACTCTCCTTTCAGCTTCCCTTCCCACCCTGATAGCTACAATGAAGAACTATGTAAAACATCTGCAAAAGAATGGATCACGTCACTCCTATTAAAAGATCAATCTTTAGGAAAGGCTTTGAGCCTCGTCTGGTTGATCAAAGACCAAGTTTGAAATGTGATAGAAAGGATGCAATTCTGAAAATGTGTGGCCCCTTCATGCTAACACTCTCTAACTGTGGGTATCACTTGCATCCATGACTACACAGTACTAAGAATCCTCATAGGATTTCTTGTGAAAATATGTGGATAGTACAAATAATGTTCTGAGCAGGTTTTTGCATAAATTATATTCAGGCACACCTTGGCGCATACATATACACACTCCCATGCACATACACATTCTGAACATATGAATTCTCATCTTAGGTATTTTTTCTCAAGCAAACATTGCATCACATTAGCCTTATTTTTCTTTAAACTGGTGGCAGCAGGGAGAGAAAAAAACCAGCCTAAGGACTCATTTTATATTACTGAAAGTGGGATAAAGTGCGGCCTCCAGAGGAAAGCACACATTGCCATGGTAACCTGCTCTAGGCCGTCACAGCGGGTATTCCTGGGATAAGAAGATGACACAAGAGGTCGGTGCAGCCACAGTTTTTGTGGATATTGTGATCCTTGCAGTCATGAAGTAGCGTAACAGGTGGCCCAGATTCTGAGGTTTATCTCTTGCAACTGAGAAGCAGAACCTAGCCGGGCAAGGAACCGGTCACCTTCGTTCTTCCTTGTTTTGTGATGTGATGCCTTTGGCAGCAGCTTCTGTTTGTGAATGGAAGAATTCTCACTTAAAAAAGAAAACAAATCACCCCACGTCATTCTGTCAGCAGCAGTCACACTGGAATAAACTTAAGATTCCAACGTGGGAGTAGAAAAACCGTTTCTGTTCTATTAGCAGAGAAGCACTGGATTCAAAGAGAGAATCATTTTCATGTAGGGATGACACAGGTGGTAGGAAAAATATATATAATCACATGGAATTTTTCCTGGAGGCATCTGACATAATGTGCAAAAAGCCAACATCAAGGCCAAAGGCAAATATTAAGAATGAAAAAAAAAAACTTTTTCTCACACAATGAACTATATAAGTACTATAGTTCTTTTAAGAGACAAGCTCCACTTCTGCTTTATTTTAGTCTGATGAACAAAACTAAACGATCGAAGACACTAAGCAATGACTTTATTGCTTCCACCGCATTTATTTATGCCCAGGATTTCAGGACTAGCGATGAATCTGCTAGCTACACAACTTCAACCTTATGTCTCTATACCATAGTTTCCCCAAAGGAACCTAACCTCTGCAATTGACTAGACAGCACAATATACTTGAAATGGAACAGACCAGAGCTGTATCTTTTTTAAAAAAATCTCTATTTTATTTGTAAGAAATAATGATGATATGATTGCACAAACAAACCATATTTGCATTTGTGTTTAGGAAAGAAGAAAAGCCGGGCAATAAAAATTACAAGAGGAAGAGTGGGAGGAAAAATCAATTTTCTTTCTGACCCCTATTCTTATCTTTAACATTATCCTTTATTGTATTCTTTTTGTCATGTTGGGACTTCAATTACAAATCTTAGCCTATGTTCTGATTTTTTACTAATATGGAGAAGGGTTGGCCCTGATATTTCCATATTTATGAATTTCTATTTATATTTAGAAGCTTGCGTTTGAAAAGGTGAAAGAGAGATGAAAGAATGATGGCTGGGTATTAAGTTAGTCCCAAAGACACTGGAGTTGTTTGGAAGTACAATGAAGTACTAAAAATTTAGGGAATGGAGAATGCAATAATCCTATCTGAGAAGAGTCCTCATTATATTATTGGGAAACTGTGCCTTCAACTATGATTGGAAGGACTGTACACTAAAATATTTAGCATTCTTGTCCTGATGCCCAGGAACTTCTATGAACTTCCACATGATACACAGTGTCTTGCATCTCATCAACTTCCTATTGTACAGTCTGTATTCTATGTATCCACAGCCTATATTGTGAATATAGGGGATAACATCTTTTTTTCTTGTACTGCTGCTATTAAAAATGAAGTGTGACTAGTTGCAGTGCAAACAATTCAGAAAAAGGTTGTACCAAATTCAATGTAAACAGTTTCAGATCTGCTGTTGAAGTAGAACTCGAAGGATAAGTAGAGCAGAGCCTATATACCCTTCCTTGTATGCATGTAACCAGAGTACCTATGCATAAGATCAAAATAATACAAGATATACATGGCAGTGCAATGTACATTAGGGAATTTGTTCCATCCTGTGATATAATACCATAGTTAGAATTTGTAATATGCAAACCCATAGAGTATTTTCCCCAAATGATATAAAGAATGCAGCATTACTGCTACAGGTTCTAATATGACAAATAGCCCTAATAATTTTAATGGAACTTAATTATTCAGCTATTAATTCTAGTAGTGTCACTGAAGCTTCTTTGTTGGTTATGAGTAGAGTTGTTTAACAAAAAAGATAAAACCAAAAGAATCCCAATCAAAATTGGAAGATGATTAAAAATGTGGGGGGGAAAAGGGAAATTAATAATACATGCACATGTATCACACATAGGGGAAAAAATTGCATGCATCCAATTTAAATAGAAATTTCTTCATCACCTGTGAAGGCTTCCTAGATATGATCTGGGCTATTAGGTGCAGCCAGAACACTTTCAACATTAACAAAAATGGTTCTTGGTAGTTGTCAAGAAGCCATATTGAAGGACAATCAAACTATATTAGTAATTGTGGCATAAACATGCATTGTGCTTTCTGGGAATGAAATGTCATTAGAGAATTCAAGGGGAATAAAAATCCTTTTGTGAAAGTCAGAATAATTCAGGATGGCACACATCCTGGAGAAAGGGGCAGAACGGTTAGATGGATGGCACATACAATCCTTTTCCTTTCTGTTAAAAGTTTAAAGAAAATAAATTTTTAAAGGAAAAATAAACCGCTGAACGTATATTATATTTCTGGCTTGTTGTTTTAGAAGATAAATAAAGAATGTATTTTCCTACAGAACATGCCTCTTGTTTTAAATTCTCTACCGTGTGGTTAAGGGATTAAGAGCTCTGAAAATTTCCTGCAGAAATGCCACAAAAAAGGAAAGATTTCTTCAATGTCCACAAGGATAGGTCTCTAACTACACAATACATTGAAGCAATCATTTATTAGGACCCAGATTGTTGGGGGCAATATGCTGACTTTGCAAACTGCTTAGAGAGGGCTGTAAAGCACTATGAAGCGGTATATAAATCTAAGTGCTATTGCTATTAAGGGTTAGATTATGCTGCCACAACCAAGAGGGAACCTATTTTTGCAAAAACGATAAGACTATATACTTGTGGTGTCATGAAGCATGCTGCCTGAAATGCATGATTGTCCTAAGAAGTAGACTTATACAGGTATTAGAAGCACACACCTGCCCAGTTAGGCCATATGATGTCATGACGTTTTGTTTAAAAACAAAATAAATCTCCGACACCAAAGAGTCATAGAATGTAAGGTTTGAAGGTATCCTAAAAATAATATAGATTGCTCTTCATCCAGTGCAGGAATTCACTACTATGGCAAACCTGTCAGGTAATCAACCAGCCCCTCTTAAAATACTTCCAGCAAAGGAGAAACCTTCACACTCAGTCTGTTCTGTTGTCGTACAACTCTTATCATTAGGATTTCTTGAGCCTGGTCACAGTCTCCTCGTTGTAATTTAAATCCATTGCTTCTCATCCTATCTTCTAGAACAACTTGGAGCGCTTCTGTTCCATCTTCTACATGATGGCCTTTCCATTACTTGAAAACAGCTGTCGTATCTCACCAGAGTTGTCTCTTCTCCAACTCTTTTGGAGTTGGAGAACAACTTTTGTTGTTTTTCTTCTAAGAGTCTTATCACTTTGACTGTTCTTGTTTGGAGACACCCTTGTTTGTCAAGGTCATTTCTAAATGTGGTTTAAACCTGGATGCACTAGGATGTGACCTGATCAATGCAGAGTAAAGAGGAACCATGAGTCCTTTTGATTTTGATACTTCTCTTGATGCAGTTAGGATTGCATTTGCTTTTTTATTGCAGCTGTGATACATTGGTTAATACTCAGTTTGATCCTTTTCACACATGCTATTGCCCAATTTGGTTCCCCTCATTCTACACTCATGTCTTAGATATTTCCTACTCAAATATAAGATTTTGCATTGAAATTCATCTTGCTGGTTTCTGCCTATTATTTCAATTTGTCAAGAGTCCTCCTGGATGTTGATAAACCTGCTGTTGATCTTGTTCTTGATAAACTTATGCTAGTTTCTACCAGGAAATGTTTTATTTTCTACTGCTGAGAAATTGATTGCTTAATAAACTATTTAAAAGTTTTGTTCAGTATTGATGCTAAACTAACCAGCTAGTTATCACTTAGATCCTCTTTCCCAGCGTTTTGAAAATGGGGTAACCTTGCATGCAAAACAACTAGAGAAAGAGACAGGTTTTTCCCTCATGCCATCACTCTGCTGAATTCCCACAGCACTGTCTTATGTCTAAGGATATTTACCCATGTAGTAGGGTTGTATTGCTATTACCCTTCCCATCTTTCCTCCTATTGTTATATTATGATTATATTAATTTGTTGTTTGTATGTATACTGAGAGCTTATGCACTGGAGATAAACTCCTTGCTTGTCCAATCCCACTTGGCCAATAAACTCAACTCTTCTCTCCTCTCCTCTCCTCTCCTCTCCTCTCCTCTCCTCTCCTCTCCTCTCCTCTCCTCTTCTCCTCTCCTCTCCTCTCCTCTCCTCTCCCCTCCCCTCCCCTCCCCTCCCCTCCCCTTAGCCTAGCCTAGCCTAGCCTAGCCTAGCCTAGCCTAGCCTAGCCTAGCCTAGCCTAGCCTAGCCTATTATACACTACCCTGCCCTGCCCTGCCCTACTCATTTGCCCTTTTCCAATCCATTGGCACTATGCCTGTCCTTCATGATTCCTCGCTGAAGGGACTCTAAGATGATATCTGCAAACTCTTTTCAAGAGTCTTGCATATAAATGGTCTGATCTTGGAGATATAAGCAATGTACTGTAGCCAGCTGTTCCATTATTTCCTTATACTCAAATTCTTGGATCTCAATACATACACACTTTCTACACATATAATGTCATTCCTCCTCCTCTCTTGTCTAACGTATTCCTTTAAATATATTGTGCCCTTTCAATCCTAGCAGTTCGCTCATGAGTTTTATGCCACCAGATTTCAGTATTGATGGATAAATTATATTTGCCTTCCTGCATTAAGACTTCTATTTTTTTCTGTCTATACTTTGTACAGAAACACTGGGACCCCAAAGACTACATTACTTAATTTACTTCATCTTGCATTAATGTCTATTATTGAATACTCTCATATTCTGCATACCCACCCATTCCAGTCTCAGATCAGCTCTTAGCATTACATTTTTTTTCTTTTCTTTTCTTTTTTTCTCTCCACCCTTCATATAATACAATTCAAAGCCCTTTGGATTAAGTTTGCAAGGTGCTTTCCTAATGCAGTTTACCCAGTTCTTATGAGGGATAGCTCATCTCTTACTTCATCTTGGAAACATAATTATAGAAAAATTCAAGCTATTCCTGTTAAGCATCATAGTTGGTAACCAGTTGTTATCTTCCAGTATTCTTTTCTCTTTTGGGGACAAATGTTACAATAGAAATAAATAAAGATGTACTCCCATCTTCTACCCAGTGTCTCATACCCCTTGCAATGCCTTCAAGGCTGTGCCTGGCCAAATTATTTATTTCCACATGGATCAGTAGAAAGGAATAATTATCAATGGGTATAGTCTTGGGAGCCTTTCCAGACATATTCTGCATATATGCCCCAGGAGGACAACACAATTCTTTGACAGAAAAGCCAACCAATTGCTCATTCATATATCTGCATAGCTCTCCGGAGAAAGGACCCTTTCAGCCAAAATGAAAACACAGCTGCTCTTTCAGGTGCTTCATCCAGAACATCTGTCACTGCAGCTTTGCCCAAGCTTAGCCCACTGGTGTCTTCTTCCTTTGGGAAAGGCACATACTGGCCAAGTTAGAACTGTATTTTTCACGCTGCTGAAAAAACATTAGGATTTTGCCCTCTTTTGTGTGACAACCTTCCAGTATTTAAGGAGTGATGTCAGATCCTCCTCAGATTTTTTCCCCCCAGGCTAAATATATGGAAGTTCCTTCAGCCTTTCCTTGAAGGTTTGCTTTCTATATAACCAACTACAATATTAACAGATTAACAGAGTTAATCTGACCCTGTAGGTCATCTAGTCCAACTCCCTGTCCAAGCAGGAGATCCTACACCATTTCTGACAAATGGCAGTCCAGTCTCTTCTTGAAAGTCTCAAGTGATGAAGCTCTCACAACTTCCGAAGACAAGCTGTTCCGTTGGTTGATTGCTCTCACTGTCAGAAAATTTCTCTTTAATTCTAGGTTGAATCTCTCCTTGCTCAGTTTCCATCCATTATTCCTTGTCTGGCCTTCAGGTGCCTTGGAAAATAGCTTGACTCCTTCCTCTCTGCGGCAGCCCCTCAAATATTGGAACATTGCTATCATGTCTCCCCTGGTCTTTCTCTTTACTAGACTAGTCATGCTCAGTTCCTGTAACCGTTCTTCATATGTTTTAGTCTCCAGTCCCCTAATCATCTTGGTTGCTCTTCTCTGCACTTTTTCTAGAGTTTCAACATCTTTTTAATAGTGTAGTGACCAAAACTGGATGCAGTATTTTAGGTGTGGTCTTACTAAGGCTTTGTAGAGTGATATTAGTACCTTGCTCGATCTTGATTGTATTCCTCTGTTAATGCAATTTAAGATTGCACTGGCTTTTTTGGCTGCCGCTGCACACTGCTAACTCATATTTAGCTGGTTTTCTCTCTCTCTTTTGAACCCATTCCATTCATTTATAGCCTTAAAGTTTAACACCCAGAATTGTATCTCCAACAAGGTATGAATACTTTAAAGTAATGTTTTAAATACTAGGATTGTTCATGCAATCTCATCTTGTGACAATTACAGCCCTGGGAGATATGAAAAAAAATTAGGATGGTGATCACTGACACACTGAATAAGTTTCAGTGTCAGTTGTTGCAAACAAAACGAAGGCACTTTGAGATACCATGAATAGATCCATAGTTCTCAAGTGCTAGGAGAGTTATTTCATTCTCGGCACCCATTTCTCTATTTCTGAATTAACATTCAAAAGCTCTGACCTCTCCTCTGAAGACAGCTAAAAAAGCATTTGTCCAATAAACCAAAAATAAGTTTGATTGTCTTTCTCTGCTTGGAGAAGCCACAGAATAATCCAAATTTCATAATCCAAATTTCATATTTCTCACTTTTGGCACATGTATTTGTCCTTCTCTCCTCTTTTCTTTCTTTTATTATTAAATGCTTCCCTTGCTTTTCTACAAACAGCTGCTCTTTGGATATTCTTTTCTCTGATCTGCTCAAATCTCATTTTTCAACTATTGCAAAGAATTCCAACCCTCACCCCCACTGCATTTCCAAAAGGACAGCTCCACTCCATCCCAGAGATGGAGATGAGAGATACCATAGACCAGGGGGGCCAACCGTGGTAATTTTAAGATCTGTGGTTTTCAACTCCCATATTTCTCCAGTCAATAGCTGAGGAATTCTGGGAGTTGAAGTCCACAAGCCTTAAAATTGCCAAGGTTGGACCCCTCTATGGCCAGAAGCCATAGAGCTTCTGGCAGAATCTAAATAGGGACGCAGTGACTCAGTGGCTAAGACACTGAGCTTGTCGATCGAAAGGTTGGCAGTTCAGCAGTTCAAATCCCTAGTGCCGTGTAACAGGGTGAGCTCCCGTTACTTGTCCCAGCTTCTGTCAACCTAGCAGTTTGAAAGCATGTAAAAAATGCAAGTTGAAAAATAGGGACCACCTTTTGTGGGAAGGTAACAACGTTCTATGAGCCTTTGGCATTTAGTCATGCCGGCCACATGACCATGGAGACCTCTTCAGACAGCGCTGAAACGGAGATGAGCTGAAA